AGCGGGGTTTTTCTCCTTGGCGGCCGGGAGCAGGAGACTCCCGGGGCGCCAGGGAGAGTCAGATGCTTGGAGATCAGTGTCCCCGGTTAGCAACCAGGGACGCTGATCTCTCTGAAAGTGGCCGGAGCGGCTGGCTTCGCCCAGCTGTCATAAGCAGGCTGTCGGCCAGCTTCGTCTTTCAGCACGGCTCAGCGCTCGACTGGGCCGCTCGGCCGTGATCGGGAGCTGTACGGGCTATTGTGAATAGCCGTACAGCACCCCCTCGGTTCTCCTGAACCGAAGGGGTCCTGGTGCCGAAGCTAGCCGAAGGATCGGCCGAAGCTACGGCCAGATCCTTCGGCAGCTTTGTGAATAGACCCCTATATTTCTTATAAAGATAGCCTAGTTTTATGTACATGCTAGAATAATATAAACTGCACTTTTGTGTCACAGATAACAATAACCGTGTAAAGCTAATTACGGATGCTGGTGTGCCAGGCTCAGATTACATCAACGCAAGCTATGTGTCTGTAAGTATAAAAATACTTTATGGTAAACCGCTCTGGTTAAGGAAGCAAGTCTAAAACCACATTTCAAACATCTCTAATACTCCTGGTATGCAAAAACCTTTGAATCATCACTCATGTTCTTCTGGCACAGTAATTACATTCTTGTTACATTTTTATTAAAAGCAATTCTAAAAAAAAACACAAAAAAACTTTCTTAATCACAGAAAGGATCCTGCTAAATGCAGAAGGGCACACACATCCAACTAAAGGTGTCTCATTAAGGCAGAAGGAGACATGCCTATATATAGAAGACTCCAATTATAACACTAATAACACTTACTAGAAAAACTGTAACACATGGCTTATTTTTGGCATGGCAAGAAATCCTATGTGTTTATGGCCCTGAATAGAATCATTATAATACACAAAAAAACTACTTTTCATTTTTAGAGTGAGTTCAATAATCCATTGGCTTCTTACAAAACTCTTAAAAAAAGATGTTTGCCATTAAGTTTTCCAGCTGCATTCATGCTGCCATAGTGAGTATTAGTGATGAGTGGAGAGGGCAAAGTTTGATTCACAGGAGGCTCAGCAAACCCAAGCAAAAAAATCCACTATACTTGAACATAGCACTGAACGCCAGTGAAGTCTATGGTAGCTGAATCTTGCTAATTGTTTCTGGCCCTTTTCAGGGCCAATTTGCAAGCTTTTGTTAAAAAATGTAGTATGGGTAGCTAGGCATTGTCATGGGGGACTTCAATGCCGAGATGAATCACAGCATGATATGTAACACACTAAATAGTTAACAGATTCCCATTACTATAGACAGATGAGTGAGCAAAGTTCGCTGTGTTAAACTCAAGAGTTTACAATATGTGTCATTTCAGGGGTATATTTGTCCTAATGAATTCATTGCTACACAAGGACCACTGGCTGGAACTGTGGGTGATTTCTGGAGAATGGTTTGGGAAACGCGAGCAAAGACCATAGTGATGCTAACTCAGTGCTTTGAAAAAGGCAGAGTAAGTTTAAAGCTATTACTAGAAAAATAATTAAATATATGTTACAGTTTATATAAAAATGATCTTCTTTCTACAGATCAGATGTCATCAATACTGGCCCGAGGACAACAAGCCAGTGACTGTTTTTGGGGATATTGTGATCACTAAAGTTGTTGAAGATGTTCAAATCGATTGGACCATCAGAGACCTCAAAGTTGAAAGAGTAATGAATTCACTTATCTTACTTTCAGTACTTTCTCATTTCCTTTTCCTGCTTATGTGGTAAATTCTATGACTCAGAAGTGTAGGGTTTGGTTACTGCTAGACGTTCGTACCTCCTTTTTTAATGCATCTGCTTCTTTGTTTATAATATATCAGAAATTATCATGCTCTTGCAAACTGATTTGTCAATGGCTTAACTAGTTTAGCCAGTTATTCTGACAGGCATCTATAATAAAACCTAATGTATAAAAAGTGCCTGGTGTTGTAGTCCAACACAGACATGCTGGTCAACCCCTGCACAGCTTCCATGTGGGTGTTGTAGTGGAGCCACATTAAAAAGCCCATATGAAACTTTGAATTACATCTCATACAGTATATATTCAATGTGTGGTTATGCTTAACCATGCCTTTTCCCACTAAGCCCCTGCCACCTTAAAAGTTGAATAGTATATACAGTATGTGGGGAATAACTATTTCATTTTGGAACACAAGACCAAGTTTTCAAAATGCATCGCAAATGTGTTAAATCCAGGATTACAATTCTTTCTTTTAGGGATTAGCAAATTGGCCTGGCCTGGCCCTATTTGATTGGCTCATGGAACCTATCGTAAAGTCCAAAAACTGTATACTTTAACCCGAGCCCCATTGGTTGCAAATTTTGAATATCAATTCTGGCCATTTTCAAGGCTAATAATAATAAGCAGTTTTTTAAACACCGTACCAAACTGAAAGTAAAAAATAGATATAAAAATGCAAACTAAAAAAAAAATTAGGTACCAAAAACACAATCAGAAAAAGGTAGTCCTAGAATAGATCTACAGCAGAGTTGGGTCTACAGCACAGTGAACATAGTGGTTACACAATATGTAGTCCACCGCACTGCAATTCACTGTAATGTGGCACTATACAGCACTGGATATATTACTTTTCAGTAGAACTACATAGTACAGCAGCAACTATCTCTCCCTTCAAAGACGGTGTGATCTCCACAATCTGCTCCAAGTTTTGCTGTTATTTTGAACGGCAAATAACTTGGCATTTACTATATGCGTGCATGCAGACACCTTTTTCCTACATAAGAAGAGAGTAGGGATGAGTATCAGATTCACCAGCCACTTTGACGGCACCAGTGTACTTAAGTCTTCTCAGCAGTAGCAGTGAAAATGGGGTTTATATGTAAAAGAAGGCGCTAGAGATAGAACATGAGTGAGAAAAAAAATGCTATGTTTCCTATTCATTCAATTGTTTCTGCCATTTCCTTTATTACAGCATGGAGATTTTATGATGGTTCGCCAGTGTAATTTTACTTGTTGGCCAGAACATGGAGTTCCAGAAAACACTACTGCTTTAATTCACTTTGTAAAGATGGTTAGAGGAAGTAGACCTCATGAAAATACACCGACAATTGTACATTGCAGGTACGTTATCATTATACTACTGTGGATAATAAGGTAGTATTATAAAAATCTTGTGTCCCTACTTGAACAAATCTTTACAAAAAATGTGTGTGACCGGTGAAATACAGCAGTTCCAGTTGCTTTGACCTATTTTTTTACAGATACATTTATAGTACGTTTTTGAAGCTTGGTGAATGACCTATATCCAGACAGGGGTTAGTAGCTGTAATATCCACAACTACCTGCTGGCACCCTTTATCTTTTGGGTCCCCAGTGTCGGGATCACTCTGCCATAGTTTCACTGTTCATGCTAAATTTTGAGTTTTTAATTTTCCTCCCACTCCTTTAATATGTAAAGGTTAAAAACATATAAAGGCAGCAGGTCTCCCTCATAATGGCCAAGGAAGGCCTTGAAACTTAGCAATCTCCCCACAAGAGTCCTAGAACCAAATTTGAAAACATTGGGGTCCCAACCAGATAGTTGTTTTCATCTGTGACTGATAAGACACAGAAATGTTACATTTTATACATGGCTTAGAGCAGGGGTGCCCATTAGGTAGATCGTGATCTACCAGTAGCTCTCAAAGCTGATGCTGGTAGATCATGAAGGGTGTGAATGGTGGTCCCTTTATTCAATTTTGGTATATTTATTTAGCTGTGCACACATGATTACCTATCAGCCTGAGTCTGCTGAGCCAAGCTCCCTGACACCTTTCTGGTGGATTCTGGTGGTTGAAGTGCTATGTATTACATTAAAGAATACTAGTTTACACATCCTGTTGCAAAATAAAGCAAGGTGAGCGAGGAGAGAGAGGGGGGAGAGGAAAGACAGCCAGGGGAGAGAGCAAGGAGAGACAGCCAAGAGAGCAAAGAGAGACAGTCAGGAGAAAAAACGAGAAATGAAAGCCAGGAGAGAGAGAGCGAGGAAAGACAGCCAGGAGAGAGAGCAGCCAAGAGGATGAGCAAGGAGAGACTGCCAGGAGAGAGAGCAAGGAGAGACAGCCAGGAGAGAGAGCAAGGAGAGAGAGAGCAAGGAGAGACAGCCAGGAGAGAGAGAGAGAGAGCAAGGGGAGTTTTTTTTGTCTTTGGTAGATCTCATTCCCCCTCCCTTTTAGATTGTAAGCCCTCAGGGGCAGGGCCCTCCTTACCATCTTGTCTTGAATTGTATTGTGATTGTAATATCTGCCCTATATTGTAAATCGCTGCGCAAACTGTTGGCACTCTATAAATCCTGTATAATAATAATGTAGCTCGTCATTTAAAAAGTAGATCTTAACACAAAAATTGTGGGCACCCCTGGCTTAGAGGGGCAGCCAATTGTCACAGCGATTTGGGGAGCGATTTGAGTGATTCATGTTAATGTGGTTAATTATATATTAAGGATTTACAAAGTAAAATGACTACTAATACTTGTGAGTTTCTACATAAAGGTATATGGTTGGCTTTATTGCCTCTTGTCACCTGTTGCAGTTATCAGATCTTGCTATGCCATACCATATGTCTGTAAACCTCTAATTCTGTGTTCTGCCCATGCTGAGCAAAGTGACAGGGGCACTTTAATGCTGCCACCTGCAGTAGCACATACCCACCTTACTCCTGCTCCCCTGCTGCATCATTCACTGCCAGGTATAGGGGAGTTTGTCAGTAACTACCCTACCTTGCACATGACTGTGTTGGTGCTTGCCAATTGACTACTCAGTGCGATTCTTTTCGTTCCGAATCAAAATTCGGACGAAATTTCGGAGATTCGGATGTATCCGAATTACAGATATAACTAATGCAAACGAATCCGAATTTCCAATTCGTTTTTTTTGGATGAACTGTCGTTTTTTGGACGAACTTTCATTGCAGCAAAGTGACATTTGAGAAAAAAAAAAACTTTTTTTCCCTCTTAAATGTCACTTTGCTGCAACGAACGAAACGAATTAGAAACGAAGGTTCGTACGGATTTCCGCTAACTAATTTTGTCCGAATTCAATTCCGAAACGAATTGACTTTCGGACCCGAATTCCAAAAAACAAAATAAAGCAAAATCCGAATCAAAACGAAACGAAACACATTTTTTGCTGGTGCACATGTCTACTACACAAGTACCAGCGCTGTCATATGGGGGAAGGGAAAAAGTCCTCAGCCCTGTGTAAGCTCTAACAAGGATATACACTTATACATAGTTAAGTAGTACATAGTTATAAACTGCTGAAGCTTTAAAATAAGCCTATTGCTTTGCCATACATAGGTAAAGCACAGTTTCACTTTAAACTATAAGAACACACCTCTCCTGAAAGAGTGCTGTTTGTACTATTATATTCTTTTAAGCTCTCAAAACCTCCCTTTTTAAAAAAAACAAACAAACAAACAAAAAAAACAATTATTTGAAATGTGTAATAAAGCATGCTGTGGTAACTTTATCAATTGAATAATTATATTGTTAATATTTATTAAGTGCGGGAGTTGGAAGAGCAGGAGTGTTTATTGCACTGGATCATTTAATTCAACATATCAACCACCATGATTTTGTGGATATTTATGGCCTTGTAGCAGAGCTTAGAAGTGAAAGAATGTGTATGGTACAAAATTTGGTAAGTAAAGGACAATTAATCTGTTGTTATCTACCCCTTTTCTTTTTTGTTATATTGACATGTAAATGCATCTAAAAATGAAAAAATACAACAACAATTTAGCAAGAAGCAGAGGAGCAGCATGGGGAAATAGCATTTCTGTGTTTTTATATAAATTTGCCATTAAGTCAAAGCTTTATTTAAAATTTTAGAGTTTAGAGTGTACACTGTCAGTAAAAAAAAAAAATATCCCCATGACAAATACACCCCTACCCATAATTATGACTTAATTAGTACCTACATTATTATATGTAGTCCCATGGCTATTAATTGAACCTTGATGCAACCTTGACCACCTGATGCAAATCTGAGCTGTTCTTTGTAGGTTGGTCATAAAGGTTTTACAAAGTTCTCTTCTTCAAGCAGTAAAACAGAATTTTCTTTTCTGAACACTATTTTTCCCTGGGGCAGTGCTGAATTTTAAACTTGTTGGAAGAAACGTAAATTGCTCGTTTTACTTACAAGGTACTATCATTTACCCATATACCTATAAAATAACACATGCAAAATACACAGTGCAAAATAATATCATAGATATAATTCTTTGCACAGGAAATATGCATGTCTACTATGGCAAATAGTCAGTTACCAAAAAAAAGAGAAAAAAACAACCTTAGTACAAGGAAAAATTGCCTAAAATATTCCAGTTCCACATGCTGATTTTTCTGGTGAGATTGATGCAAGGATTGCTTTCTAAAAAAATTAATGTTTTCTTAGACAGATTAGAAATACTCCAATTTAAAAATAATTATAGAAAAAAACATAAAATGAAATGTAAAATACCTTCCATCAAAATCCAGAGATTAGCAGGGTTATTCACAAAAGGGTGAAGAGTTTGGAGAAGGCAGGAGAAGTGAACAATCTAGGCCAAAATAGCTGATTTGGAAAAATCCTCCAATTCAGCTCACCTTCCAGTTCAGCTATTTTGGCCTATATTGTTCAAGTCTCCTGCCTTCTCCAAAACCCTTCACCCTTTTGTGAATAACCCTGTAGGTTTTATTATTGAATGCCAAATGTAGATTTTTAACATAAAACGTAGAGGTAATGGTGCAAATATTTTTCTAATGCTCACTACTATATCTTCCTCATCCATAGGCACAGTATATATTTTTACACCAGTGTGTTCTGGACTCATTAGCAAGCAAAGGCAGTAGCCCGGCCATCTGCTTTGTTAATTATTCTGCCCTTCAAAAAATGGACTCCTTGGATGCCATGGAAGGTAAGCAGGTATAAACTGTATCCAACATGTTTAATTATCCTTCAGAAACAGACATTCATCTGAACTGTACCTTTTCTTCCACTTCTCTTACTCTTTAAAAAGAATTGTCAATCTTTTGTACAGCAAGTTTCCCAATGGCAACATGCATCTACAGAGTATCAATAGAGTTAAAGTAGTTTTACACTTTTGCAGAAACTTGCTTCATAATGCCAGTGGGTGTTGTGAGGATCAGTCACAATCTTAACGGCTGAGGACCATAGTAACCCATACCATGCTTATACCCACAGCCTGCCCATAAACCCCAAGAAAAGTCAGGGAGCCTTATTATTGGATGGACAAGGCCACAGCTTTATTGTTAACATGTTTCAACATCTAAAACTTAATCTCTATTTAAAGATCCAAACTATATGTAAGTGCCAGTTACAGTTAAAACTGTGAGCACCCAAAAATAACATAATAATCTAACAAGAAACGCCTGTCCTCGTCATGAGTTCCAGACAGGTGTCCAGAGTGTACAGGGAGTTAAAGCTGGCAATGTTTGATCTGACACATTCTTTCTTGATTGACTATTGGATGCCTGGTAGTTACTGGATCTTTGCAGATTCATGGCCTGTAAGGAGGATCCAGGTTGTACTAGCAGTTCCGCCCTTGGGTTTCTTTTGGAATAGGAGCAGTTGCAAATGTCAGAAGCCCTCATGTTTTCTTGAACGTTAGCCATGGATGATAATGGAGGCTAATCAGGTGAAATAAGGGGTCTATTGCAGGGACTTTTGAAACGTTCTAGTCTCCTAGGTTTTTTGAATGCAGTGCCTGCAGCATAAGTGCCAGCCATGGCCACTGACTGTGAGTGGATGACAGTAGAATGTCTAAGGGGAGCATGAGAGGCAGAGTTAGTGCTCAATGCAGTAGAAACCTATGCTGGGAGTGTAGGGGAGAAATGTGACAGCAGCTCTGTTCTAGCTCTGTGAGCAGTGGGAGCCCCTGGAGCCTGCACTGTCACAGTTGATCTTGTGGAGTAGTGGTTGTGAGAGCAACTGTGGCGGGCATAGAGGGAGCTAGATTTCAAAGCTCTGATGTTGCTCCGCCCACCGCTGTATCTCATTCTAGTAGAGCGGCCATCAGGGCTAGGGCTGAAGAACGTGGGAGGCCTAGATCTCCTCTGACACTGCTCCTGAATCAGCTTGGGTGGAGGAGGGATAGGAATAGCGGATGCCTGGGCAGCATCTAGGTAGGTGATAATACAGCCGGCTGGCTGGAGGATGCTCAATAATTCATGTTATTGGGTGTTGAGGAAGAGAGCGCCAGGAGCCTAAAGGGAGGGGACCATGGGCAAGGAAAAGCAATTGCCATTCATGTCAAGTCGGTTTACTTACTGCCAAGCAGGCTCAAGCGATGAGGAGGGTGTGGATGACGAAGTGGCAAAATGCACCTGGATGGCAGAGGTTGCAGATGCAGGCCTTTTCCCACACATTTGCTGCAGACAGAATTATAGTGATTTGAGCTATTACTGCTCATTGAAAAAAGGAATAAAACAATTTGGAATCATAGTGAATCATAGTGAAAACTACCAGAAATTAGTGAAAACTACCAGAAAAAGCCTGTTTTTCCAAGTTAAAATTAGTCAGATTGAGGTGCTGCTGCTGTAGTTATGCCAAGCTAAATATAACATTAAGAAAATTAATTACACGTGCAAAATATGTGATGCCATAATACAGTGTCGCTGACATTTTCCATGAGAGTCATACTGTTCCATAACACTACAGCTTAAAGGCACCTCCCAAGCATGTATTAGAAAGAATTGTGTTTTTCCCACATTCCCATCAAAGCTGCACAAAAAGAAGGTCTCTGTATTTTAAAATAATCATTTTTGCATTGGTGCATGATCCCCCATGACAGTACACAGCTCCTTATGCCCTATGTTTGACAATTCCTTACCTATCACCCTATACAATATTTAATATTGATTTTTTTTCTTCATTGGGGTTCAGATTAAAGATTGCAATTTCCAGAGTTTACAATGAGATCACAAACTTCCATGAGCGGGAGCCTGTCCTACTGGCTCCTGATTTTAAATAGTAATGGGGAATTGTCAATGACAGTGGGCATTGAGGTTCACCCACCGGAGTGACGTATATATGCTTTACACTGGTGGAAAGGTGTTATTTATTCACACTAGTTAGAGGTAGAGTTAAAGTAGAATTACATTTTTTACAAAATTTTGCAAAACCATGTTCTAGCATCTTTTGTTTTAGTATAATTTTAATATTATTTAGGATACAATAAAACAATTGTAGCCCCTTACAGAATTGTCCTTCTTCTTTGTCCCAGTGATTATTGCTCTGTAAAATGCGTGTAACATTCAGTGTTAAAACATGTTTTGCTACTTCAAATTTAGAAAAGGGGGTGAATGAATAAATGAATGCAATTGCACAATTGTCCAATAATGCAAGAGTGAAATTTACATAAGAGGAGGAAAAAGAATAAGTTAATTGTGAAAAAAACATTTTAAAAATAACATAAATTCAAGGAGTAAGTGCATGAGTTATATTTCTGCCATGGTTATTTACCAAAGCGAAGAATAAGTGCATGGTTGTTTTCTTTAACATATATATGTATGGAATTTTGTGTGTAGACAGCAACGTGTCCATAGCAGTGACACCTAAGCTGATTTATAGCACCACAACTGGATGAGGAGCTTCAGTGCCAAAAGTTATTCCCCAGTCTACTGGCATAAAATGGTTATTTAAAAGTATGCAATGTAAATGCCTAAATAGAGAATTGTTTCTCTACAAATAGACTAACACTTTTCATTTTTATCCCATTAGTCTGCACAGTCTTTTACTTAAGGGACCCCTTTGTGTACCCCACTACTTTAGGTTGTACTGTATAAAGCTCTTCCATGGGCACCTTGCTGTAAAGCTGGTGACAAATTGATGAGCGCGTTTGCCATTTGTTTTGTTCCACCACTGTAACCTGCACGAAAATCCCACTGTTTTTTCCTAGCTTATTTCTTAATTGTTTAATATGTCACTAAGCAGGCAGGCTTCTGATAGGGATGCAACCACATTTGGAACTGCGGAGGGGTCAGTACAGAGGGGGAGTGGCAGAAAAGAGAACCAGGTGCCATAGGGAGCCAGTAAAATACAATGTAATAATAATGGTCTAGTTATTTGTGGTAAAAAAAAAGCACCTGGGAGGTGAATCAATAGCAGATTGTATTATTAGCATAAGAACAGTCAATATTCACAGTGCACTTTTTTCTTTGTTATAGGTGATGTTGAACTTGAATGGGAAGAGACAACAATGTAATATAAAAGAAAGCCCATCTCATTATACGTGGCAGAAGCCAAAATCATTCCTTCCTATGGTCAAGAGCAGTAGAAAGAACATACAAACTATATCCATGCTGTGCCTTAGGCTACTGATAGTGGTAATGTTATGTGCACAGAACACAGGACATTCAACTGTTTGCACTGCTGTGGTCTCATAGTAATGTCATTTTTTTTTATCTTGAAAGAGATAAAACAGAGCCAAATATGATGTAAATTATTACTGTCCTCTGTGTGGATATTCAAGATTGATTTATATCTGCTTTTTGGATTTGCTATCTAATTAAAAACACAATCTATAATGGGGTATTGCAATAGTTGTTTTCATTGAAGAGAAATATCCATATTTTATATATGTGCTTTTGTTTTGAATTTTGAAATCCCGTGCTGTGATCCAGAACAGCAGAAGAATCACCCTGTGACAATACTGAAATAGTTTGGCTTTTGCACAGCACACAGTAGCTCGTTGGGGATACTTGGGGCTATGAAGTTGTGACTGCCAACATTTTATCTTTCCTCTTTCAGTGGTACCGTATACACTTACTCATGAGGTACTTCGTGTATCTCTTCTTTTTTACATTGTAGAATAAAGGTTTGATTTATGATACTCCCTGGGGTAATGGTGTGCGTTTCTCTTGGTTTTGCTTCCCAAAGTTCCAATTGTCTTTCACCTATTCAGCTAAAATGACAAAATGTATTGTAGCTAAACTATTCTATTCAGTAAAACTGAAGATACCCAAATATGCCTACAATTGGAGGTGTTGTTTGTGGTGACCAATTTGGCGTCTTAATTTTTCTGAAATACCCAAGGTAAGGTCAGATTGTTCAGCAACAACTAAACCATTGTCCTAATTTTTTCTGCATCTTAAATAAATGATTCAAATGATTCTAACTTGTATAATGGAGTGACAGATAAAAAATAAAAAAAATCAATATTTTTGAAAAAAACACTAAAATAAATATCCCAGTTACTAAAGGCAAAGAGGCTGTTCTCTTTGCAAAGTAATTTGCACTTTGCAGGATAATTATCCCTTAGCTTAGTGAATGATGTGAAGCTCTACTGATTTCCATCATCCAACTATGTTTAAGCAAAAATACTGTTTTTACTTTTTTTTTTTACTTACATGTGATTGGGTATTCCCCAAGAGAGAATATGTCACTGTCTCTCAGCTGGACTCTTAAATGTATTCTACTTGATGGATAAATCCATTATTGCAGTATGTTACCCTCATATACACAGATCAGCCATAACTTTATGATTTTATGACAGGTGAAGTGACTAACATTGATTATTTTATTACAATGGCAGCTAGAAGTGGGTAGGATATATTGGGCATTAAATTAATATTTTGTCCCTGAAGCTGATGTGTTGGAAGCAGAAAAAATGAGCGAGTGTAAGGATTTAAGCGACTTTGACAAGGGTCAAATTGTGATAACTAGATGACTGGATCAGAGCTATGCCAAAACTGCAGCTCTTGTGGCATGTTCCCAGCCTGCAGTGGTCAGGACCTACCCAAAGTGGTCCAAGGAAAGAAAAACCAATGAACCGGCCATAGGGTGATGGGCAGCCAAGGCTCATTAATGCACGTGGGGAGCGAAGGCTGGCCCAAGTAGTCCGATTCAATAGAAGAGCTACTGTAGCTCAAATTGCTGAAAAAGTGAATCACAGTTTGTTGTGTATAGGACAGCGTAGCCGCAGACTGGTCAGGGTGCCCATGCTGACCCGTGTACATTGCCAAAAGTGTATTCAATGGGCATGTGAGTATTAGAACTGGACCATAGAGCAATGGAAGATGGTGGCCTGGTCTGATGAATCATGTTTTCTTTCACATCATGTGGATGTTTGGGTGTGTGTCGCTTACTTGGGGAAGAGATAGCACCAGGATGCACTATGAGAAGAAGGCAAGCCGGTGGAGGCAGGGGTATGCTTTGGTCAATGATTTGCTGGGAAACCTTGGATCCTGCCATTCATGTGGATGTTACTCTGACACATACCACCTACCTAAACATTGTTGCTGACCAAGTACACCCCTTCATGAAAAGAGTATTCCCTTATGGCAGAGGCCTTTTTCAACAGGATAATGCACCTTGTCACACTGCAAAAATGGTTCAAGAATGGTTGAGGAACACAACAACGAGTTTGAAGTGTTGACTTGGCCTCCAAATTTTCCAGATCTTAATCCAATCAAGCATCTGTGGGATGTGCTGGAAAAACTATTCCCATCCATGGAGGATCCACCTCACAACTTACGGGACCTAAAGGGTCTGCTACTGACAGCTTGGAGCCAGATAACGCAGCACACCTTCAGAGGTCTAGTAAAGTCCATACCTCGATGGGTCAGGGCTGTTTTGGCAGCAAAAGGGGGAACTACTCAATATTGATCGGTGTATATATTTTATATGAGTCTCTAAGAAAGATAGTGAAGAAAAATATCCCTGTGACATCAAAGTAAGAAACAAAAATTGACGGGGATGTTAACCATACTTATTTAAAACAAAAAATATATATTTACTTATATTTTAATGAGGTTCAACACATTTCACAGATTAGGATCTGGGTTTTTTTCAGAGGAAAAGGCAATGGCCTTATATATCTATATAAAACCATTTTGCAGCCAGTTACCATTTTTTGCTAGCGCATATGTCAGTCACCACAATACATTGCCAATTATAATAGGATTCTTTCAGGAAAGGCATTATGAATAAGTAGTCAAAACATTTGGAAAATGTCAACTTTCTGCATTGAAAGATCTTAAAACTTGACCTGGGGCACAAAACTTTCAACTTTAAATAGACTTCTCAAAGTGGACCTTTACCCCCTTTGACTAAAAATCACATCAGCATACAGCTCTGCATGCTGATATAAAATCATTTTACATTTATTAGCTAAACATACATATTTTTATTTTACTTACAATTTCTTTTTTTCCACTTCCTGGTCCACGGGGCACAAATGATGTAATCGTGCCCGTGAAATACATCCCTTATATCAGCAGTGCATTGCTGGGAAATCTCATCTGCAATCTCATGAGATCTCCGGGAAAGATATGTTTCTCCTCTGAGATGATGTACATGCCCACATGTCCTAGTCACATGTGCTAGAGTTCCAGAAAGAAAGGGAGATCTAGTAACCTGCCCATAGTTAAAATGGTCACTGTCAGAAGACTAGGGAAGAAAAGAAAAATAAGTAGGGATGTACTTAAATGGAATTATGAGACAGAGATAGAAAACTAAAAATAAAAAAAATTTAGGCCAAAACTGAAACCTTTTTTTCCAATCTTTAAAAAAAAGTTAAATTATTTTTTAATTGTTTTACTTTTATTTGTATTTCTTTTTCTTTTTTTTACTTTGCTGTTACTATGTCCACAATCATGAATGAATGGGGAGTGATGTTAATTCATAACAGGTACATAGTAAGCACACGATGTCCAGTTATTTCCAAACACTCACCGATCAGCTGATCGTTGAGTGTTTGCATACCCGCTCTCCATCTTGAATTGGCTGTCACATGACGCTGGGGCAGGAGAGCCTGCCTCCTGTGACAGATCACAGAGCTCTCCTCCGCTCACCTTTCTCTATCTTGACACAGGAGGCAGAGCCGGGGGGGGGGGAGGAGAGCTCAGACTCCTGTAACAGATCACAGCTGTCACTGACCTGCACCGCTCTTCATCCTGACACACAGGAGGCTGAGCCGGAAGGTGCAGTAGGAGAGCTTGGCCTCCTGCAACCATGACAACTGTCACAGTGAAGCGCCGCTCTCCATCCTGACACAGGAGGCCAAGCCGGGCAGTGTGGGAGGAGATCTCGGCCTCCTGCAACAATGACAGCTGTCTCTGCCCGCACCACTCGGCATCCTGAAAGCTTCTCTCCTCCCCACTGGGCGTGGCGCTGCATGGGAAGGCACACAAATCGGCGCCCAGCGGGGAGAAGAAAAGCTGGGATACACAGAATTTTTGGATGCATTTTCAGTCATCATGGCACTTTTGGCATTAGCCAAAAGTGCAGTTTTCGGCCGAAATATTTTGGTGGCCAAAATTTATGTGCATCCCTAAAAGTTATGTAAAACATACTAAGCCTGCAATAATCTAGAAGTATGTGTTTGTAGATTGTCATTACTAAACATTTCTGAAGCTGCCTTTCTTGTTATTTTGAAGATATGGGTAAAGTTCCTATTTATTAACCACAAATTATATAAACCACTAAGTGCACCAAATGCTTTTGAAACTGCAGGTATTACCTAGTAAATGTAGCAGTGATATATTTACGGTGCTATATATAGGCTGTATAGAGAGTAGAGCTGTGGGGGGAGGGGGGGAGGACAACTCAGCAGGCACCATCCACTACAGGCTACCTGCATAAAATTCCAGGAGAGGGTAGGACACAACACCAGTCACCCTGCACAAAGAGAGAGAACAGCAGTGACTGGTCTTTATTATAGGATGTACCCACTCAGAGGCAAAGTTTCATGCTGGATTACTGCACAGATTTGAAAACATACACATAGCACATCAGGATCCAGCCTAAGAACACTCATGGTTCTTGCATTTAAATTTGAAGTTCAGCTTTAAAAGGGGAACTCTATCATACAACATACACATAGGACAGTCATTGGATTTATAGCATTGTGTTACCCAGGCTCAAGGAAAAGTTGGCAATTAAATGCAGCCTTTTATTATACTATATTGCTGCCTGCTTTTACTACATGCAGTACAACTAACAAAAATCCCTGAGTTCATCGCATGTAAAGTTACAATGGGGTGCTCTTATTTCGCACAGTATATAGAGAATATTTATAACTTAGCATGTCAGCGGAGAATACATACAGAGAGCCATCTGGTCCTGCTGTGATTTATTATAAATAACAGAGAAAGTCTATTGTTTTAGCTTAATTCCTGGATGTTAAGAGACTGAAAAATTGAGCTAGATACGTGATATCCGTGAAATTATTGCCCAATTCATGTTAGAATTTAGAAATGATCTAAGCAGATTAGATTTCCCTCCAAAACAAAATTCCAAATAAAAATGAGATGATTTGGGTCTGTTCGAAAGTGCCATAAACACTCCTATAAATGCTGTTTATAGCAAGATCTACAACAGCAGAGGACCAGTGTAATGTTTCAATGGGTTTCCTACTCGTATTCAGAAGGAACGTGCAGGTTTTATGCTTGGAGTGGAAAAATATAACAGAAAAAAGTG